TTTACAAATGCTGGCCGGCAGCGACGTGAAGGTGAAGCTGGAGGCCATCGTTCACTTGCTTCAAGTAAGTCTACTAGTCAGTTGACCGCCGGCCGGGTCTAATGCAAAAGCTTAGCCACTAGGCCCACTACTGTAGTTGCGTTGTTCTTGTGCCACACCTGAAGAGGCAGCTAGCTCCTAGTTACTGCGGTAAGTAGTAAGGATTAACGACTAACCGAACTCCCTGAGCAGTTCATAAGTAAGATGAGGAAACATCCAGATTTTTCCAGACACTAATAATATGAACGCTGTCACGCTGACCGTCAGATTGCCACCACACCATCCATCCATACCACTGGAATACAGGAATACAACTGCAACCATATTCGAGTACCAGCTCAACCGCTGTTTTGGGCCGTATCACGGTGACCGCCACCACCGGAGGCACGCACGTGTCCTCGATCGTTCCAAACGGGGAGGCGCGTGCGCTACGTGTGAACAGTGGTCATGCCGTCGCGCGCCCAACATCCAGTTGCTGCGAGTGCGCGTGACGAGCCCATCAGGGGGCGCGTACGCACTCCTGCCTCTCCTCCTGGCCTGGCGGTGTGTGCAGCAGCCTACAGAGATGCGCAAGATCGACTAGCAGAAGTAGTGAAGAAGAGTACACAGGATCGGAGGATCCCGTTCCCAGCTTCCCATATGCACGACACCACGAGGTCTCTCGTGCGCACGAGCATGGGCGGGCGCGCACGTTTCCGCGACCGAAAATCGGGCATCGCGTAGCGTGCGCCGCATGCATGATCTATGATAGATTATACTCCTGGCGGATAAAAAGTTGGCTTCCCAGCCGCGGCCAAGCCTTAGCCAACGACAGGACGGGCGCGAGGCTTTGGAGTTGCTCAACCGTGGAATCTCTCGATCCCAATGCAACGGTGTAGTGTAGAGGCACGCGTAGCAGTGACCGTAAATACTAATAAACACCCAAATTTTTCATTATGGCTACGGTAACAGTTAAACTTTATTTTTAAGTGTATATAAGAGTAAAAATCTGAAATAAAAAGTATAATATTCTATCTAAATCCTTTTAGCATATTCTTCTCTAATGATTTTAGTCAAAGCAACTGATGCTCAAGATACATGGAGTCTCATAGAACAATAAAACAAGAGTATAGTTCTTATACCAAATCCGACCACCCCAAAAGTCTTAGACATGGCACACAACTCAACGTTTTAGGATCATACCAAAAAATATATGGATCAATGAAAGAATATCGGCGTTGAATTGTTAGGGTACAACACATGCTACAGAATTTAGCACCTCCAACGGTTAATGAATCATGTTGGAAGCCTAATTTTTCTATCCACGGCCATCGGCTATGAGATTGACAACCCGAGAGTTAATATATCACCATGAGGAGTGTCTATGAGCACCCTTACCCTTGTAAATAGTAACCACAAATTGACCGCCTACTAATCAAATCAATTCCTGCAATGGTAATCTCAATGTGGCCATCATTAAAGTCATTGTTGTATGTAACAGGCTCTGACGAACATCGGTGATGGTTTCGACGATAAATCTGTTTAGGCTAAACTTAAAAATGCTTTAAAAATAAATAGAGGATGGATCCCTTTTTTTCTTGCCACTGGTAGCCTCACCAGAGAGAAAAAAGGGCAAAGGCCCTTAGATGGCAGATGCGAGGTGCCCAACGATGGAGCATAGAGTCCTAAAGGGCTGTGGCTGTCTATGCTAATAGCTATGGGTTCAGTTCTGCTAAACTTGCTAGCTGTGGCTACGGGCGTCGGTTAAAGTGACCTTAGTAAAATGCTATGCCCTTGTTTAGTTCCACCCCAACTTCCAAAAAGTTGCTACAGTACTTGTCACATCGAATGTTTGCGGCCCGTGCATGGAGCATTAAATGTAGACGAAAAGAAAAACTAATTGCACAGTTTGGTGGGAAATTACGAGACGAACGTTTTGAGCCTAATTAGTCCATATTTGAACACTATTTACCAAATAAAAACGAAGGTGCTACAGATGGTTTCAAAATCCAAATTTCGCGAACTAAACAAGGGCTATACCAACAGCGTATCAACCTTCACCTTTATAGAAGTGAACGATCCCTAAATTGATTAGCAATCCTCATAAGAAAAACAAAAGGTTTTTTTATAACATGGTATTTTCTTTAAATAAATGATTTATAATATCGAAACCCCGAGGCTTGGATGATACAGATTTATGTTTACTAACATAGAGGGAGGTCAAGAAGGATAGTACTACCATCGTCCACAAAAAGAATGCAATTCTCGCTTTCAACATGGTCAAACAATATAAACTTTGACTAAATTTATATAAAAGTACTAATATTCATGATATAAAATAAGTACCATTAAATTAGTTTATAAAATATATTTTCATTATAAATTTATTTAAAGACATAAATGTTAATACTATTTAATGTAAACTTGATTAAATTTGAGTTAGATTGACCGACACGGATCGCATCATTGTGTTCTTTTATGGACGGAGGGAGTATATGGTAATGAGAGAAAAAACATATCTTGGTCAGTACCAACTGTTACTCATCATGTTTCTTTTTTAAAAAATAGTGACTCATCATGAGAGAGTATAGTATGCACATACGTCCACCATGGACAAGAACCATTGAGATTTTGATGGCATACAAAGCTCGCTTGCAGTTGCAGCTAGTGATCTTTCCTCCACGGTAGAAAAGAAACAGCCGGAATCTCATCGAAGGGAGACTCTAGAATTAGGGGACGAACCTCCCTACGCTAATCCTGTCAAGGCATTAGGATCCCAGTTTGAACTTGCATTAGGATCCCAGTTTGAACTTTTTGTCGAGCTAATGTTTGCCTAGCAGCACAGATACTTTTCGGCGGTACTTTTCAGCAAATTAACATTATTAGCCTAAGCTAAATTTGAGCGAAACCAACGGGTGGGCACTGCAAGCTAGCTACATTATCCGGTCGACGGAGGCCCGGGGACAAACTGGCGGTGGCGCAGAGCAGACGGAACAAGCCTGTGGATCGCTGCCAGTGGGCCCGTCGTCAGCTGCCGCGCACGCAGCCTTTTTCCTCCTCTCCTTTCCTTTCCCCGGCGACTAGCGACGGCTGTTCACCAAGCCTGGAGCCCTGGACACCACGCACGCCCCTCGCACTCCCGGGTCCCCGGCCGCGGCCAGCCAGGTCGCACTCGCGCACAGCAACAAACCAGACCAACCAACGATAGCTTCCTCCGGGCCCGGCCCTCCCCAGCCGTCAGTCAGTCGCCGTCCCTTTGCGGGAACGTGCTCCGAAGCAGCCGCCGTCTCCTCCCTCCCCAGCTCCCCCTCGACACCTCCTCCTCCTCTCTCCCTCCTCATCGATCTCCCCTTTTTATACCGCATCGCCGGTCCGACGCAAAGCTTCCCCTCTTTCTGCGTCTGCCACTCGTCCCTCCTGGATCAGCGAGTCCCGGAGTGGAAGATCCGGCCTTTTAGCTGCTTGTGGTGGTGGTAGTTGGTTGTTTCTGGGGAGTTGCACCACCGGGAAGCGGGGCAGGAGAGGAGGAGGGGGAACTGGGGAGGTTGGTGGGTTTGCGGTTGCGGTGGCGGTGGCGTCGTGATGGACTCCGGCAACAGCGGGAGCCTCCAGTCGTCTAGCGGCGGCGACGACGAGTTCGACTCGCGGGGTGGAGGGGCGTCGACTCCTCCCGCTCTCCGCACTGCTCCGACCGTCTCCGTCTCCGTCCCCTCGGCCGCCGCGTTCTCGCTCCATGGCTCCTACTTCGGCCTCCAAGAGTTGACGTCCGCGCCGCCTCCGCAGCAGCAGGCGGGTGCCTGGTCATCGGGGTCGTTCCCCGGCGCCTCGGGCTGTCCTCCTCGTCTCCGCGCGTCGGGCAACCTGACTCGGTCGCGGGCAGGCGCCAGCAGGCTGCTGACACGACCGTGGCGGCAGCGCAGGGCAGGGGCGGCGATGGGCGGCGCGCCCGCGCCGGCGGCGCAGCCACCGAGGGGTCGCGGAAGCGGACGCGCGCGTCGCGGCGGGCGCCCACGACGGTGCTCACTACCGACACCTCCAACTTCCGCGCCATGGTGCAGGAGTTCACGGGCATCCCGTCCCCGCCCTTCGCCGCGGGCGTCGGGGTCGGGGTCGGGGGCCCCGCCGCGTCGCTCCGCACCCGCTTCGACCACATCTTCCCCCCGCCGTCGTCCTCCCTGCGCTCCGCCGCCGCGGACGCCACGGCCTCGCTGCCGCCGTACCTCCTGCGCCCCTTCCCGCACAAGCTCCCGACGGCCGTGCCCTCCTCCAGTTTCCGCCCTTCACGACGACGACGTCGTCGTCCACGCCGTCCTCATCCAACATCGGCGTCGCCAATGCCAATGCCACGACGGGCACGGCCGCCACCGCAGCAGCACCGGCGTCCAACCCTGTCGTCGCGCCGACAGCGGCGGGCGACACCTTCCAGCAGCTGACGTCCTCGGCGCTTCTCCGGCTGCAGCAGGACCCCAGCAGCTACCTCTCCTTCCAGAACCTCCTCGACTCGCAGCCGTCGTCGCAGTCCATTTTCGGCGCGGCGGCGGGCGGGTTTGGGCAGGCGTCGTCGAGGCTGCACGATCCAGCGCCGTCGCCATCGGATTTCCTGGCCAGCGTCGGCGGCAGCGCCAGCCTCGGCCTCACCCACGGCGGACTCTTGGGCTCCGAGGGCCAGCACTTGCACCACTCAAGGAGCGACGACGTCCACGGCCACGGCGGCGACGAGCTGTCGGGCGTGGTCGCGGCCGGCGCTTCGGGCGGCAGCTGCAAGCTGAACTACTCCTCGCACGCCGCCGGCGCGGCCACCTCGTCATCGGGCGCGGCCAGCGCCGACAAACCACCGGACGGCGTCGCTGGTGCTGCTGCCGGAAGGCCGGGACGAGGCGAGGGCCTGGATCCGTGGATTTGTACATCGGAGTAGGGATGCATGCTGCGAGCGCCTCGTTGGCTTTGTCGTCCTGTGAGCTGCGTGCCATACGGGGGCTACGGAGACGAACCAAGCCAAATCCGCCATGCATGAGCATGACAAACAAAGGTCTGATTAGCCTTTATACCTTTTGTTACTTATTAATCACTTCTTTGCAGAGGCAGTTATCGTAGCCCCTCCCCTTTGTACATTAAAAACCTCATCATCTTGCTTCGTCTTGATCTCACTCACTAGTGCCCTGTTCGCTTGGTGATAAGCTATGACTGAAAGTACCGTAATACTGTTCGTAGTCTGAAAAAATACGGTTTATAAGCTAAGCGAAAGGGCGTAGATTCTTGAGTTAATCACACACGATTTGGACGTGCAAATGAAATAATGCCTTCCCTCATAGATACACTGTCGTACCCAGAGAGAGAAAGAGAAACGCATGGTGCAACCGTGCAATTTCAATGCCAAAGCAAAGCAAGGAGGAGTAAGCTCCTGCTTGTTCTCTAGCTAGCTACTAGTGCTCTCCGGCACTGTGCACGAGTCGAAGCTGCAGTTGCTGTCGTCGAGCTCGCCGATGGACGAGTCCGTTTTTGGTGCGTAATCCCGGGGCCCCGGTCCCAAACATGAGTGCATGCAAACAAGTAATCCCCACCGGCGGCGGGCCGGCAGCGATTGGCGGCGAGATTTCCGGCGCCAAGTTTGTTTCTCCCTCCGGTGTCCGGTCACAACCGTCGAGACTGGCTACGAATTTAGTTGCTCCACCGGTCCCAACCGTCGCTCACCAAACTGCTATGCATACGTACTTGTCGTATGATATATATGCATACAAATTGGGTGAGCGCAGAGCGATCGAGGCGCTTCAGAGGAAGCGATCGGCGGCGACTGCAAGGGAAAGATGGATCGCTTGCTACAAAAAAGTCGAAAGCGATCGGCGGTACGGTGGCAGTCGCCTACCGGCTTCGGATCGGATTGATTCCTGGATGGAAGCGATGTAGCTAACGCTAACCACCCCACTCTCGAGACCGCCATGAGATGAGCGCGATCTCGATGGAGACGGAGAGGTGGAGGAGGAAGACGAAGATGGTTCCTGATTGGTGGGGAGGGAATTAGGAGGGTTGGGGGGAGAGACCAACGAGAGTATGTACGTGTACCTTCGTCGGCCGGGCTGACCGTGTTCGCCGCGGCATGCATTAAAAAATATGGCGCCATGTGACGGGCCGTCACGGTCTTAATCAACCCGCGATCCTCAACCAGTACGTACACGCTCTAGCTACTCCTTAGTACAACCTTTTTCCCTAAAAAGATAACTGTATAGTGATCATCACCTAATTAATGTCTCCGGAATCATCTGGTTTCACATTGTTGTTCAGCCATACTAACGTTTTAGCATAATATTCTAGCCTAAGTTTTACGGTTACCTGTCATGAAAGCGACACCAATTGTTGTTTTCTCCCTTTTGACAAAGCTAACCATCTATCATTACGTGTGCAACTTTTGAGAAGGAGAACGGGTGAATGAATGAGTAATCCTCGAGCTCGAGATGATTAGGCACTGCATTGGTTGGATCAAGGGCAGTGATTACCAGGGCCTAACCCTAAACGATCGCCAGATGTAAAGTAAAGCGCGAATCTGATTGATGCAACGAGCGACGGCATGATTAGCTCGTCCGCAGACCGCAGAATGCAGCAGATCCATCTCCCTCCCTAGCTCCTTTCACCGTCCCGCCCGGTGGTTCGGCTGCTGTGCTGCGTCGTCCGCGGACCAGACTAGCTAGTGGTAACATGTGAACCCCCCTCGCTGGAATCATGGTCTCGCCCATTTGCAGGAATAACTCTGTTCTGCTGCAATGATGCCTCTCTCTCTCTCTCTCTCTCTCTCTCCTCTTGCTGCTGCTGCTACAATGCATTGCATTGCTGGTTGCTGCGCTCTGGCGAGGTGATGATGACGGTGATCTCTCGCCCGCACAGGACCCTGATCCTGGCCGAGTGGCCGCGTGAAATTTCGAGCCACACCCAAAAGTTAAGGGGCTTTTCAGAGCCCGAACGCAAGTCACGCCACTGCTGCTGCTGGCCGGACGGACGCCGGATGGGCCGTCATATTTTCCGTGCCAAATTAAGTACCCGCTGAATCACCATTTTGCCGTGGCAGATGGCAGGTGGAGAGGGTTTGCAGCGGCAGTTCTCTTTAGCGCCTTCGCCATTTAGGCCCCGTAACTTTTGCCCGAACTTTTGGTGAACCCATTTGAAAAATCGCTTTATTGAAAAAAAAAGCCTAAAAAGCCAAATTTAAGACAAACAAACGAGGCCTTAAAGACGCCTGTTCGCTCCATCGTTTCCGCCATACTTATCATGATATATTGTTTTCTCTCACAACAAAACAGCATCAGCCGACTTATAAGCCATATAAACGATCAAGTGAGCAGGGGTAGAGTATCACAGCTACGGTACTCCTATGTGAGGACTGAGGACGGAGGCGGGCGGGCGGGCGAGAGGAGGGAAGCGGCGATGATGGCTCCGCCTGCCACTGCCAGGGCCCTGCAGCTTCATTCCGATTGTAGCCCGCTGCCTGCTCACACAGAGTTGAATGCTAAACCGGACTTTACTCCTTCCCGTACTTCAGTCGTGTCGCAAATCACATTTATTTATTTACGCCCCTGTTTAAAGCACATGGTACTTGCAACGGCACACGCTGTTGTCGATTGCCGACGTGCCTTCGCCGGGCAGCAGCGCACATTCACGCCAACTGTTCACGCCGTCCGGCGTCCGTCCCGTTGCCATTCACGCCGGTCCTGAAGAGCCGCCCGCCGCGTACGGCTTCCTCCGCGTAAGCCACTGGTCACTGCCGCCGCTGGGCGCGCGGCGGGCTCAACAACATACCGCAGCCGCACGGCGCACGCACCTGCCCAGGTCCGTGTGAGTGCTGAGTAGGGCAGGCGCGCGCGGCGCGGTACCAGCGTCCGTACGGCGTGCCAACCCCGAGAGGGGACATGCTGGTGGGGGAGAACACAGAAGGGAATAGTCGCCGTCACCGGGCGCCCGGTCTGGCGCTGCGTACGATCGGTTCAGCGACAGGGGCTACCTGCCACCAAAACGCAGAGCGGCAGTGCATGGAGCAACACGGCATCCATCGGTCGCCGCCTCACCGGCGGCTGCGCGCCTGCATGCTCCTTGCCGAACGCCTCCCTCCCCTCCCCTTCCCTTCCCTTCCCTTCCCTTCCCTGCCTACCTGACGCGGCAGGCATGGCAAGCGAAGCACACCGCGCACACATGTCGCGGTGTCGCCGCATGGCGCATGCATGTCCCCTACGTATAGCCCCTTGCCAGCAGCGGGGACAGAGCATTGAACATTGAACCATGGCCAGGCGCCAGGAGGACTGGAGGAGGGCAGGAGAATGCGACCACCGTACTACGGGCGAGCCGGCGCGCACAGAAAATGATGCAACGTGCCCAGTAGCTAGCACATACAACTCTACAGTGTGCAAGAAGCTGAAGCCTCCCACAGCGCACAGGCCCTGGTCAAGCCGGGCATGATGGCCCTGCCGCCGGCCGCCGCAGAGCTGCTGAGCTGCACGATGGGCGACAGGGCGGTGCCAATCCTCTAGTAGTAGTACGGAGTACTAGATGCAGCGGAAATGCTCGTTGATGCCGAATCGGCAGTGTGCCAGTGCCCAGTGCGTGGCCTGTTGCCCCAGGTTCGCCCGCTTGGCCCGGTCTAAGCCGCGCGCTCGTCACGTCCGCTACCCCCGTCCGTCTGATGGACATGGACGCGCCACCCATCACCGATCGATTAGATGCGGGCCGTGACCGTGAGAGGCTACACCACGACACATGAGCGTGTCAGGCCATGCATACCCGGTGACCGTTGGAGGAAGCTGGAAACCCTACTGCATCTGCATGCCGTGTCCTCGGCTCCGTCAAGCCGGTCTTTGCCTCGTAGACCGCGAGCCATGATATGAGCGCGACGTCACCAATGATTATTCATTCACGGCGGTACCGGTCCGAACTGGAGACAGCTGACAATCCATGAACTCCAGCTGTCATTCTGCCATAGTAGATGATTTGATTCTCACTCCAACCTGCTGCACTTGCTTGTCGCGTGGAGCTCGTGATTCAAAGGAAAAAGGCATTAGCGGAGCCCGAAGCTTAAGGAGTCCGGACAATTCTTATCATGCAAAAATATATTTGCCTACAAAATTACAGGTTCCATTTTGATTATACTGAAAATTTTCTTTTGAAGGTCGGCGACGAGCCCGGCGGCCACCCGGGTGGTCGGATGGTGGCGGGCTCCACCACGGTGTCGGCTATCGATATTAGGGATACCCAAAGTAACGGGTTAGCGCCCACGCCGACTTTCCCTGGATGGGGCAAACGAATTAAAAGTCTCAGACGACTCCAAGACCGCGGGCCCGTCTCGCCGACCTCGAGACCGCTGGGTCTCGCCCAAGGCTGCGGGCTCCATCTCTCCCGACCTCGAGGTCATGGTCTCTGTCTTGCCCGACCCCTAGGCCGCGGGCTCTCGCACCTAGGCTATCGTGCCGTGCTCGTTAGTGCCGCCGCGTTAAAGCACTCGCCCAGTACACGACATTACGGCCTCGTGTTATGTCGTGGCGAGCCATCGCGCGGCTTGAAGCCACGCCGTCGTCGTCTCACAGGGAGGCTAGAGCCCCGCCGCCACCGCCGCCATTATTGCATTGTGAGTCCGGAGCCGCGCGCCGCGCCATTGTCATTGCACTAGAGGCTAGGGCCGCGCATGCCGTCGTCACCACGCGGGAAGTCAGGGCCGCGGCGCAACCACCGCTGTCGTGCACGCCGTCATCACCACGCAGGTCGTGCTGCCGTCATCAACCTAGTGCAGGCTGCTACGACTAGGAGAGGACCGGCGCCCAGCCTCTCGTCGGAGCGAGCGAGAAAAGAGTCCAGAGAGAGAGGTAGTCCCCGGAGAATGTGAGAGACGAGACTCGGGGGGCATCGGGTGGAGGAAGGAACGAGGCAGCGGGGACGGGCACT